CAATCAATCTCTTTGCAAGAAAGAAATCAGCTGTGGCATACTCTTCTCTAGACGTTTATCAGTAACACAGCATTGGAGACCTGGGTACTGCATGAGCACAGACTTTAAACTCTACCTGCTCTCTGAGAGAGGGGTCCCTGTAGGCAACATCTGATAACAACGTTACCAAGCAGAAGCTGAAGTTTTCTGCAACAGGAAGCAAGCCTGCAAAGTAACAGGCAGAAAATATATCACTTAAGCATTATTACATAAGCGATTCTCACATCATAAGGTTCTGAGACAGACTGTAGAAAAATACAGTATTACATACAGAATTTAGAAGTACACTCTAGCCATCATAATTTCAGCATAAATGTTTAAAGAATAATATCAATAATTAAAAACTCTTCCAAGCTTTCAAGTAGTTAAAAAATATTATAATACCCCTTGTGAAAATAGTATTCTTATATTAAGATTTATTAAGGGAGCAAGAAATGAAGCAACAACCAAGTATCAAAGCTAAAAGCAGAGAAGACAAATCTCAGGTTCCACTCTCCTGCTCTAACTACTACACGATCTTCTCTACTTTAGTAACCAAATATACTGAGAATAGAATTATTTGAAAGCGCAATTTATCACAAAGCACTCCAGCAAGAAAGCTGGGAGCTATTCAACTTCCTCTTTGCTTCTAAAGAAAATGAAATGCTGTTGAGTCAGGAGCTAAGAACCTAACAGGACCCATCACATTCCCTTGTGCCACGTCCTAAATAACCTCTGTTATCCCCATTTCCTGGCTGGCATTCCATATGAATGAAAAAACCCCAAACATCACCTCTGCCTTTCCGTGCATTGCTTTCTTCTATCCATTGGACTTTGGGAAGACCCTTCAGCAGTCGGAGGAGGTAAGCAACCACATGATCTTTGTGCTGAAGAGGAAAATATTCTATTTAAAATGGAGAAGAAAAGCTGAACCATATAATCTCAAGGTATTTTAGAGATATGGAAAGACTACATATTAACCACACACAGAACTCGCTTCTAGTAATTACTCCATGGGATTCTTGAATATTGTAAAATTGATTTCAACACAACTAAACAAATTCAGTGCTATAAATCCAATCTTTTCATTCTAGGCAACAGTTCATTCTCTGTAAAAGTTGGAGAAAAAATATCTAGAACATTAATTTACGCCAAACAATTTATTAGTTTACAGCAAGGTTGCAAAATAATGTAAGGCAGCTCAAAATTCAGTGCCAGTCCCAATTCAGTACATGGGATCCATCCCATGGCACAAGTCACTTCACACATCTGTGTAACACTTCAGCTTCCTAATCAGCAAATCAAAGATTAGTGCTTTCCTTCCTCATAGAGTTGGGTTAATTAATACTAACCACTGGCTTTGAAAACATCATAAAAATGCTAAGAAATACGAATACAGCTGCCTTATTTAAACTTCATACTATAAAAAATGCAAAAAGGACAACAACATACATGCCAGCTATATTATGGTAAATAGATAGTAAATAGGAAATTCATGCTTGATGCAAACCCTAGCAACATTAAATGACTTAAAATGAGGTCTAACAACTTTGGACCTAAGACCCTGTATATCCTTCCTGTCCACTGCACGAAAGAGTGCCAGGCCCAGAGCTGGAAGGGAAGTGAACTAGCTTGTCCTAAACAGTCTGACAGCACATCAGGGAAGTTGGTGTATAACACAGCCTATATGCACTCTTTGTCTTTTTATCCTGGCTGGTGCCAGCCATGAAAAGGCCTATTACAAACCTGATGTTCATGAGTATGTTGGTCAGAAGGATGTGGAGAAGAACACCTGATGACATGCATGGTTTGAGCAAACCCTCCTGAATAGCCTTTCCTTTGTCTCCTTACACTATGATGACCAAAAAACAGGACAGCAGTTTGGCTGTGTCAGTGCCATGACTGCTGTCTTACCACACTCTTCAGTACCGTCCTCGTTGCCTTGAGCTCTCCCGCCTGCATCTATCTATTATCTCTGATCTTTTATTTTATTTCTTTGGATAGTAAATACCAACTTTTCATTCACTGAACAACTACATTTGAACTAATCCAAAAATCTTTCAAGTTATACAGAGTTAGCCTAAATGGGAAAAATACCTGAAGATCAGATTCAATGAGAAAGATTCCTAATGCAATAACAGCATCTCTGCGACGTTCATCTAACTGGAAAATCCCATGGAAATCCACTGGACACATACAGAGGAGTTTTTGTACCTGAAAAACAGCAGAGCAACCGATCAGTGGAACAAGATCGGAAATGTCAAAAGAACCCAAGGGAACAATGCTACATATGTTAAAATTGTCTGTCAAAAATCCACCAGTAAACTTCAGGAAAGCAATGCAAATAGCTGACTGCTTCTCTTCCACAGAGCAGAGCTTGCCATCATGTCTGTGCCCTAGAGCATACCAAGAAACAGGCCTGGAGAACACCAATACAATTGCAAATATTTTCACAGCAGAGAAACAAGATGACAGGCTGTGACTGTCAAAACTCATTCAGACCTCCTGTGTCTGAAGGGAGCAGTAGTCTTTCCATTTCCTGGAAGACAGGCAGATGGCCACATTGCACTGTCATCAATCTTCCTGAGAGCATTGAAGGGCTAGGAAAGCGATGCATGACAGATACTAGAAAAAGAAAAATCTCAAGCAGATGTCTATCATTTTTACCACAACACAGGCTGATTTAGAAGGATTTTTCAACACTCGATCAAGCTGCTTGGTTGGGGAGGGGTGTGGTGGTGGTCATATTTCAAAAAAGTTTCTGAAACTTTTCAGAGCATCTCATTTACTGAGCTCATTCCTGCATCCCTGGTACAACAAAGACTTCCTTCCACTAATTCATTGGGCTTTTTGGATATGCAAGAAATATGCAGCAGGCATATATATTTACTCAATTGCTGCAAACAAAAACCAGATGGATGGAGCTTCGGTTACAGCTACGCCAATGCCTTTCTCATATACACCACAGACCAATAAACTATTACCCAGCTGAATATGACCTTTGCTCAGACATAACAGATTAAGTTGCCAGAACAATCATTTTCCCACTACTTACCTACTGTTTCACTCCATATACAGCAACCACACATCTAAAGAAACTACCAAATCTCCCAAATGCTTAGTTTTCCTATGAAACTGTTAAGAAAGGGAAAATGCAACAAGCATATTGTCTTTCTGTAAGTCTCCTTGATGTTAATAAATATTGCCTAAAAAGGACTGTTTATAAACACGTACGTTTGAATGACCTATGTCTGCATGTCAAGTTACTTCCTATTTAGATAACTCTGTAAGCACCCCGCCTTGAAAATTCTAAACCAAGAAACTATTTCCCTAGAGAATTAGAATTTACTAGATGCTCACTGGAATTTAAGATTCTGGTCCTTAAACTGCCAGGCCTCATAATTACAGGACCTGAATACAACACAAATAATCCTCTTGCTTCAACGTAAAAGACAGCAGAGGAAATATGATTCTGATGCATGTGTCTCACATCAAGTTAACATTCACAATAACACATGTGAATGAACCCCTGTCATGGTTTGGGCTGGACCGGCCACTGAAACTCAAAAACTCAAACCAGGACAACTGCTAATATCACTTAACTCCTACTGTAGTCTGTCAAACAAACAAACAAAACCAAACAAAACCCACAAACCCAAAACAAACAAACAAAATATACCTCAGGATATCAGTGAGCCAACAGCAAGGTTTAAAAAAATTATTCACTGTTGGTTGTCAGACCAACAGTAGTTTTCCAGAACAAGAATTAAGAAAAGGAGTCTGCAAAAGCTGGCCAGAAACAAGCCATGCACTGTAATTTTCCTCAGCACAGAGCCGTGCTTCTCAAATATTTAGTTATCTTTCTTTCATTAATGCATGAGCAATTCAGAAGTTCAGTCCCTTTGTGCCCAAAGAAGCCTCCTCGGCAACATCGGGCTGCCCACCTCCCCTAGGCTGCCCTCCCCTCCCCACCACCCAGACGAACCCCCCGCTTCGGTTTTGCATCCAGCAGAGATTTACTTCAACACGGCAGTTTTTACCTTGATCATGCATCGCTTGGATTTAATCGGATGTGCGGAGTAAAGCAACCAGTCCTAATTAGGCTGAGACTAATGACGCCTCCAAGACCTTGTTTACAGACACCCCCAGGACGCCCCGCCGCCGTGAGGGCCCACGTTCCTGAAACTGTTCCGCGGCCACCACGGTACCCTCGGGTCGCGACGGGCCGGGCGGGCGTCTGGCGGGCCCGACAGCCCCCGTCTCACGGCCGCGGGACTGCCACGCCCGCGGAGCAGGGCGGCATCCCCCGGGCGCGGGCGGACACAGCGCGGACACAACCCCGCGGGGCCGCGGCAAAAAACCCCACTTCCCACGCACGACAGGCTCGAGCGAGGCGGCCCAGACATCCCTCCCCCCACAGAAGGCCGCGACCCGCCCCCTCTGCTCCCAGGCGGCGGGGACACTCTCCGCAGACAGGGCCCCAGCCCCGCCACCGCACCCACGACCCCAACCGTCCCGCGCAGCCCGTGCTCACGTGAAGCGTGACACCCCTCGCCCCACGCACACGCGACTCCCACGCGTGACGCCCCGGCGCCCCTGCGGCCCCTCACCTTCTCCAGCGGCGCCGGGCTCTGCACCGCCAGAGACCGCGCCAGCGACAGCACCGTGTTGAAATAGAAGCCGCGCGTGGTGCCCGCGCTGCTCCCACGCCCCACGCCCACCGAGGGACCTGCTGTCGCCACTGCCGCCGCAGGGGTGGTGGCCGCTGCCGCCGCCGTGGCTGCAGCTGCCGCCGCCGCTGCAACGGCCGCGGCCGCCATCTTGTGCGGCACTACAGGGGGCCACTCGCGCCGGCCGGCCTACCCTCTCGCGAGACTGCCGCCTCGCAGAGCACCAATCGCGCCACAAGGATGGCAGCGCCCGCAGCGGCTTCACGGCTCTTCCCCTTCCTGCCGTGACGCCCACCCCTCGGGCCCGCCCGACAAGCGGCCGCACCCAGGCTGTCACCCCCGCTCCAGACCGTCCCCCCCGCGGTGGTCCCGCCCAGCAGCCGCTTCTCCTCAGCGCCGTCCGGTGCTTCTGCCCGGTGCTTCTGCCCGGCGCTTCCGCCCGGCACGCAGCGGCGGCGGACTGTGGGCGGAAGGAACGCAGCAGAGCGGGCGGTGGTAGAGGCCGAGGCCTGAGGCAGGGTCTCGGCGGCGAGCAGCGGGGCAGGCCCGGCCCGGCCACCGTGAGGACCGAGGGCCAAGGACGCTGCCTTCGTGAGGCCGTCACTGTGGCCGCTTCCTCCGCCAGCCATGTCGGCCTTCCCGAGGAGCTATAACCCCTTTGCTGAGGAAGAGGAGGAAGAGACGACGGCCGTGCGCGGTGGGGAGGCGGTCGGCGGCGGCGGTCGGCAGCTGTACCTGCAGCAGGAGGTGCTGCGCCGCTCCGCCGCCGCCGCCGACAGCACCACCCGATCCCTCTCGCTCCTCTACGAGTCGGAGCGGGTCGGGGTGGCCGCCTCTGAGGTGGGTCGGCACGGGGGGTGGACGGCGGGGTGCTGCTGAGGCCTCTTTAGCTGGAGCCGCCTGCGGAGGGGCTGGTTTGCCTTTCTTCCTCCCGAAAGTCTCTCGAAACAGCTTTTTTTAGATTTATTGTTTCAGAGACAAAGTATCCCTTTCTGTTACTGTGGACTGATTTTCTAGGTGGAGGCGGTTTGGTTTTTGAAGAAAAGATCGCAGTTAGACGCTCTCTGTCTATATAATACTGAGAGTGGGACTTGGCTGTGTTTTCAGCGGCGTTTAACCGTTACTAAGTCATTAATGGCATTTGTACCTATTTTTGTCTGACTAAAAAGTTTTCAGCAGTTCTTTTGATTAAATGAAGAGCCCGCCCTGTTGTTTGTCATCTGCTTGCTTCATGCTGATTAATTATTTCCTTCATTCTTCTGGCCTTGTTTCAGAGTAGAGTTTATACTCGGAGACATGGCTCAAAGCTTTTGTCTGTTGTGTCATCTGCTAATGGGGTGTTTGCTTGAGTGTTAGTGGCGTGATTGACGCAGTCACCTCGAAAGCATCCCGAGCTGGAGGAGAGGCTTCTGTTGAAGGGGTGTTGCAGTCGCGCTTCCGCAGACTCGAGGCCTCGGGATTCGTTTGTCCAGAAATGCACAAATGAGGAATTAAGAACCAAGAACTTAGGCTTAATCCAGGGCTTGGGGTAAAACTGGAATTGCAGGTGTCAGCTGCTTTATTGGGGGGGGGGGGAAGAATATGCAATTAGGATTCCCCAAAGTTTAGAGAGAATATGAACACAAGTTCTTCGTTTTGCACTAGCGTTAGCTGCAGGCAATTTTCCTCACAGAATTAATCTTTGGATTACTTTGGAATTGTGTTTGTGCTGCTGAATTAGAAAATAACTTAATCGTATATATCAAAATTTCTAAATCCTGCAGTGTTAGTACTTGCTAAGAGATTATTTTTACAGTATGAAATTTTTTTTTAATTTATTTCCTTTGATTATTCTGTTTCTAAATTATCAGGAACATCCCAGTAATGTGAAAATAGTATCTCTTCCTCATGAAGGTGTCATTTACAACTAGAAATAGTTCTGCTTGCTCATTTCTCTTCCATAAACTTTTGCATTTCCACTGCATCACCCATCTGGTCCCATGCTTGCTCTAACAAGAAGAGGTACAAATGTCAACCTGACCATCAAAAGACCAATACAGAAAGTTCCTGGATGCTGTTTGTAGGTGTCAGGAACCTTGCATTGCATAGTGGTCAGGATTTTATAGCTGCTAATTACTGTGGCTGACTAGCAACTCTTGATTGAAATGCCCTGGTGGAAGAGATGTGAGTGAAAAATCTGTATGCCTACATAGCTGAAGGAACTCTGTTATTTCTCTTCCAAGTGTCAGGTGTTTGATGTTTCAATTCATCTTGGCTTTACTAGCTTGTCTTTTTCTGTCAATATCTGTTAGGAGCTTGTACGCCAAGGGGAGGCCCTGAAGCGCACAGAACACATGGTGGATAAAATGGACCAGGACTTGAAGACCAGTCAAAGGCACATAAATAGCATTAAAAGCGTTTGGGGGGGCTTGGTGAACTACTTCAAAGCCAAACCTCCAGAGAGCAAGCCAGAGCAAAATGGAACCTCTGAATATTATACTAACAGTAGGTAAGTAAAATAAATGTTTTACTTGGCACGTATCTCCCACAGCATCTCTGAAAATGTCATCAGAAAATCAGAACTCAAAAGATCTGTTGATTCTGTCAAGTAAACTCCTGAGGTGGTGTCTAGCTCCCTTCTCCCTTTAACTCTGAGAAAAATACTTTTATTTATATTTGAGGTAGTAAGAATAACTTTGTATTTGTGGGAAACTAATTCCAACAATTACACAAAATCACACAATTAATTTTTCAGAATCTTCTGAATTACCATGCTTGCTTCAGTTTTATCAGAAAATCATGATTTGTACTATTGACATGCTTCCAGCTAAATACTACGTGTATTTCTCTAGCTTCTATTAAAAGCTGTAGATAAAAATTAATTGCTATGGAATTACTGTGTCTTACAGTACTTGTATCTCTTAAGCTGAGAAATTTATGTAAAGCCTGGAAATATTGCATGGATTGATTTCTTCTTTCCTATCCCTCTCCATCCTCCACTAGAGGAAAGGAATAGGTTGCCTCCAAGACGGAGGATGCGGTTTTAGTTTTGATACCAAAGCTTCCATATGCTGTTTTCAGCACTAAAGCAACCAGCTCTGCTTTCACTGAAGACAAATGCTAATAGTTCATTTTAAAGGAACATTTTGGACCAGGTCTAACAAATTTCATCATCTGCTATAAATTTGACACCTGTTCTTGTTTAACAGACTCAGAATGAGGCCTGTGGTCCATAGGAATGTTTTTATTCTCTTTATTACTAGATTAAAAGAAGCAATGATGTCTAGTAAAGAACAAGAGTCAAAATACCAGGAGAGTCATCCAAATTTAAGGAAGCTGGATAATTCAGGTTTGTTAACTTTATTTTATGCTGATTGTCTGTCTGTGGGGCTAACTTGCACAGTGGTGAAGGCAGAGACCCTTCAGCCTGCCTAACATTTGGAGATTTGTATCCCAGCCTTCATGGCTTTGAATTCTAGGGAATTGTTTCCCCTAAAACTGTTTATACCTCTTCGGAAGATGTGAAATGCTTTTACTTGGATACAGATCTTATTTAGCCATTCCTGTGAGGTTTTTATGCTATATCCACTAAACACTTTAAAAGCATCCAGTGCTTATATTTGCACAGAGGAGACTTTAGCCAAGAACCCACACAGTGTGCGGGTAGCCTTGTCTTATGTTTGCCAAAATATTAACTTATACTTTCAGAGGTTCTTTTTAACCATCATTTGTCATAGTTTTTAGATTTCTTTGTTATTGCAAATGTGGAGTATAACCATTCATACTGAAGTCATTACTTGATTCACGCAAGGAAGCATGCAAGGTTTGGTCTTGTTCCCCATTCTCACATTGCCTTAACTTCTGTGGTGACTTTTATGTACAAAGTAACTGTTCCTTCTTAAAGTGTCCTTAAATTATGTAGTTTAGTAGGAGTGAGAAAGCAGCAAGGTATCTTTATAGTTGTAGTTTGGCAAGTGAAGAAATGCTTTTTGGTAATCTTGATCTCCATTCCACTCCACATAATATTAAAAGTCTGTCCAATAGAGGGCAGAAATGCTCTCCGGTGGCTTGCCCTGGGGAATCAGTAACTGCTGGTATAAGTTATGAACTGATCTGCATTGGTGGTTGGGTGGCTGTTTTGGTTTTTTTCTTTTTTTTTCTTTTAACTACTAAGTAGAACTACAAAAGGCAGCCCAGAAGAGAATAATTGTAGCTTAATTAACTGTTCATCTTGAGGTATGTCCTATAGATAGGGATGTTGAACTATTTTTGATACTCCTGCTAACAGGTTATGTGATTACATGGCAGCTGTGGTCAGACTAATTTTAAATAGCACTTCTAAATTATTACTCTTCTTGCTAGCTTTTTAATTATAAAATATTCTGTATTTTATACTCTTAACAGACAGTGATTTCAGCAAAGCAGATTTAGTTTCTTCAGTGCAAAGGGATTCCTATCCAAAGAACCAACACCTGCGAGCTTACCACCAGAAAATTGATAACAACTTAGGTGAGTGAGAAAATTGAAGCTGTTTGATGTAATACCATTTTTGATTTTTGGTTCTTAAGCTGGAGAAAATTACTAAGTACTGTATTGCCAACAAACACTTTTTCATGTAGTTCACATGTGACATTTGATAATAAAAAATCATTTGCTTGTATTCTGTATTTCAAAGGTATCTACTTGGCAGAATCCAAAGTTTGAATGAAACGTGTGGTAGAACTGTGTCAACTGTGTGTCAACTGCTTGCAAATATTAATAACAAATCTGAGTTAGAAATGCATTTCATGTGAAACCAGCTAGAAGCAAGCAGGCTAGGATGCCTGGAATTGTACTAAATCTACTGTGGAAACTGATATACTAGTGGCATCAATACTTCAACTCTTCTGTAACATCCTTGTGCTCGTTACAGTTGCTCCAACTGTCCATGAGCAAAGAGACTGGGGGGAAAAAAAACCCCAGACCAAAAGCACAAATGCTCTCAGATCACATATTGACAACAAGAAAAACACTGTGACCAAATGCAAATATGTTAGCAAATCTCTGCCACTTGAATGAGGAAATGGTGCGGAGTTATCCCATAACACTTGCACTCAGGATATGAAAATGTTTCTTTGAATCTTCCTGTAAATTGAGTGGAGTATCGCTGGACAAGCAGACTTACCTAACAATTCTGAAAGGTCTTATTAAGCAGGTACTAGTTAATGTAAATCAGGAAATAGTGCTTCATATTGACATCCAGATTATACCAGTATGGATACTTACTACCTCTTTTTCTAAAGCTTACCCCTTACATTGAAAGATGTGTTCAGCTTACCTAACTGACAGTTAAACTCACAGATTAAATTGTACATCTGTTTGGATCCAAAGAATTTACAACTCTGTGTAGCTTTTGAAATAAACATGTTTTGCAGAAAATAAAAGAATCAAAAGGCACTAAATATATAATTTGTGAATTTGCAGCATTTCTTTTATTATTTCCCCAAACCACTCGGCTGACTTTCTCTTCCTTTGTTCTGTAGCATATATACAAAGTGCCTCTTCACTTACATGTGTCACTGTTTAGCTGACCTAGAAAGAAGAGATTGGAGACAAATCAGAAAGGAATAGATCAAAGAGAAATAGTCAAGCATAAGAGTTTGGGGAAGCACACTTGTTCTGTTCCCAAGCCATGTAAAACTTACTAGCCTCAGAAGCATTTATACCGATCAATCATGCAATAAAACCGTTTCCTCGTAGCCAAATTAGAAAATCTGGAAATGGGATTATTCCATCTGTGTTACATAATTAACTGCTCAAATCTTCAGTGTATTGGCAATATCTGCATGAAGTTTAAAGCAAAACAACTGAGGTAGTGAGCATATTGTGTATAGGGACGTAAGAAAAGATGTACCCAATTTTCTATAAAACATGTTTAAATAAAAGGTTAAAACTACATTACAGGGAATGTCATTTTATAAGGATCCAATTTGGTTTTAAGCATTTGTAGTTAACTTGTAATGGAAAAAAAGAAGTGATTATTTCTCGTAGCAATGCAGTAGAAGTGTTAAAATATCAGTGTTTCCACTGTTTGAGAAGAGCACTCGGACTTGAGTAGTTGTAACTAACATTTTTCTAATATTCTAAGAGGGAATCCTGATAGTATCTGATTAAACAATATGCTTTATACTGCTTTTGTTCCTTATGGTCCCTCTCTTCATTGACAGATGAGATGTCTTCTGGGTTGAGTCGCCTGAAAAACCTAGCTCTTGGTCTGCAAACAGAAATAGACGAGCAAGATGATATGCTGGATCGCCTAACAAAAAAAGTAGAGACACTGGACATCAATATTAAAAGCACTGATAAAAAAGTCCGACAACTCTAAAGAATTTTTAGAAATTTTTTTATCGTGCGTCAATTCTTCTTGGATACCTTATCTCAACTATTCTCTTAAAAAAAAAAATCTTGGACAGTATCTGTTTCTCTTTTTTCTGTTATGTTATCAATTTTGTTGTCATTAAAATTGCATAATCTTAAATGCAGCATAATACCTTAAATTCCTTCTTACAGTACGTGGGAAAAGTGCACGTTGAGTGAAATCCCTCAGCGCTTGGTAAGTGCTTTTGTGCTGGGTACCCTGCTCAATTGTATGACTGTGTGTCGTGTGTGTGCAGGAATTTGCCATCTACAAAGCTTCAGTGTCCTTGGCCCAGGAGCTGTGATGAGAAAAGTAACTGTGTTTTGCCTCTGCTTTGGAGAGGGGACAAGGGAACAGAATGTGCTGCTTTGTTTAGAACAAATGTCTCTAATTCTGTTTACCTAAAGCTATTTTAAATTTAAAAAAAAATGCTGAATTTCAGCTGTAAAAATAATTCAAAGTGACTGTTCTCTGGCATTTCTGGGCTTAAGGAACGAGCTGTTCTGCGGAAGTTGTAAAGTATCGCAGATGTCATGCAGTAATGATAATATTCTGTGCGTGTTCCCTTTCCTACGATGACTTTTGCCAAATGGTGGAACCATGAACTGTGGTTCTGCAATTTGGGTCAGTAAATGCTATCACCTTTATTTTCAGTAAAGATCTCTAAGGGCATCTTACGTTCTGCAAGAAATACTGATTGACAGTGACTGAAAAAGCTTGGGTAACAAAATTAGGATTTAAGCATGTGCTCTTAGAGATTCTTTTGTAGAAATTGTCACCATCTGTTGTTTTTATTGTCTGCTCTTTCTCAGCTTATTCAGTTAGGTGGTTATTTGAAAAATAGCTCCCATGTAATGGTCTGATATTGCACAGATTATATAAAGATCATTCTTTATTGTAACATTTCAAATGTGGTTAACGATTGAACAGATGCTGTGTTTTCCTAGGTAATATGACTGTTTTTAAGAAACTCAGCGATGGTTCACATATTTCTGCGTAGGCTTAGCAGGTATGAAAAGTTCCTGCAAATGAAGAGAAGCTCAGAAACATTTTTGAGTCTTCCAGATACGAGTTGAGCCTTCCAATTTGTTTTATTCTGTTGTAAGTATCACTGTAGATAAAATAATTCAGTTCCAGCCTGAAGACATTACAATGAGAACTTGCTGTCTGTCTTGGAAACAAGTAAGTTATTTCAGTTTGGAGGGGTCAAGGGACCTGTGTCAGTGTTGCAACAATCACTGTCACAAATAACAGCAAGTGCCTAAAAAGAGTTACATTTTTGAGCTGATGCCACTTTATCTTATGAATGAAAGGAAGACCTTGGTGTTTAGGGCTATCAAGCTTGTATCCTTCATGAACATCACATTCATGCCCTCCCCTTTTTTTCCAAGGGATTTGTTACCTTGAGCTTACTTGCTACAAAGTCCACCGAATTGTTAAGGAGGTAAAAGAGAACTTGAGCCTTTCCTCTTTAACTGTGTTTCCTGAAAGTTCACATGTAAAAAAATAAATCACTAAAAAATCTATGCATCTTGGACATAGTATTATAGAGAAAAAATATTTCTGGGATTACTACTGAAATAGAATTAATTTAAGGTGAGCCGTTGTTTCCCCTTATGTGACTTAGCCTTTGTTTCCCCTTTTGTTGGGATATCATTGATTTCAGTTCCTAAATAAAGTGTTTTGCAGGGACATAAAACTTCAAGAGCTATTGAGTACCTCTAATTGCTTTTTAATCTTCAGTTTGTGTCACTTATGCTCATTTAGAACCATAAGAGCCTTATTAATATCAATGTATCCTCGTAACATCAATGTATTATCTAACTTTTTGGGTACATACTGTGACTAATTCTCTCTTACTGTTAGAATATTTATGAATTATATGATTTGATGTCTCAAGGTGGCTGATACATTTATTTATTAAATGATACAATCATTAGTTTTCAAAGTGTTAAGTACCTCAATGAAGGAAAATTGAAATTTTAATTATACCACATTTAGTTTCTTATTTGACTTTCTCCTTTTAATAAAAAGGGTGAAAAGGCTTGTATTTTTTTCTATCCCAATGCTGGCTAACAGAAACACTTTCATCTTAGGATGTATAAATTCTCTCCAGAATACCAAAATTGCATCGTAATTAATAACACTTATTTTAGTCTGAAGTCTTCTTTTACCTCTATGCAACTATTTCACAACAACGTTTTTTCCAAAGTAAGGCTCTGGTAATTAGGATGTGTGCTGAGGCTTTCACCACTAACTTATGGCTAATGGAGGAAAATGTAGCTGGAAGATCTAATTGTGTGATATGTAATAAGAAATGTGAAGCTTGAATGTGAACAAAAATTTTTGTTGGCTTAAGCATGAAGTCTATTGCCTTTCTGATGTAAGTTATTCCTTTTTTTTTTTTTTTTTTTGCCTAAACTATTTCAGAAAGCAAACTTAAGTTTTTGGTTGACTGTTTAGTTAGATTAGCCTAATGGAAAGTTTACCGCGTCCTGAATATCTTTGATGCCTTTAAAAACACAGGCAGGGAAGGGGAATTTAAAAAAAAAATAAATCACTGTTTCTGCTTTGAGAACCTCGTGATTCAGGCAGACTAGAAAACCAGGATCTCAGCCATGTGGAAGTTATACAGAGATCTGACTTATCTTTTCTAACAGTGCTGTTCACTGTCTCAGTAACGCGCGTCTTTGTTTGCATAGGCTTTCCTGCTCTATGTATTATTTTTGGTTTGGTTTTTTTAATGGCCTTGTTTTAAAGGATTATTTCCCACATCGGATTTCTTGGGGGTGGAAGGAGGGGAGAAGATCATGCATGGGTATGAATGAATTTCTGCTACAAACTGAATTCCATTTCTCAGCTTTCATACAGATGCTTTATACTGATAACTTAAGTCCAACTGACATGAGGACACAACATGATTTTGTAAGAGTGGTGAAATTTTTTTGCGTGTTAGGATAACTTTCCATCCCGCAGAAAGGGGAAATTTAAAGGCAAAAAAAACCACACATGATTTTTGCCTTTCCAGGAAATGTCATTTTGTACGTGTTATGAAAGACTTACTTCAGTAGCTTTTCTTACTATGTCCTGAGCTAGAGTTTTATTTCTTCTTTGAAACTGGTGAAAAACTTACCTTATGTAGGGTGTAGGACTTTCAGAAGAAATGTAATTTACACTCAAGCACTACTTTGATAAGTTAAATGATTTTGCATAAATACTCATGTTGGCATAGAAATTGGTGTCCTTGCAGCAAAATAGTTCTAGTTAACTAATTTTATTCCTGTTGGCTTGAGTAGAAGTTTAATTAAAAAAAAGTTCTCTTTCTAGAAGGTGATTTTCTTGCTTCTCAAAAAGTTTGCTAATAAATTTTGAAGAAGTTTTAAACACTGGGAAATAACACACCCTTCATAACATAGATATGAGAAGGCATACTCTAAAAGCAGCAAGGGAAAAAACAAAAGTGGGAATAACCAGTGTCTGATTACTAGATTCCTAGGTGTACTTGATTTTTAAATTTCCTGAGCATTGAATTAAATATCTGTAACAAGTGATGCATAGCTGGATTTTAGGCTGTACTGCAAAGATTTGTTGCTGTGCTGAACACTCTTGGCTTACTGAAATTGTTGGGACACTATATGGTGTCAGGGATTTTTGTTAATGTGTGAAATTTATCTGAAATATTTTGCTGCCTCATAGTTTTTGTGAAGTGTGATGTAACTTGTTATATCGTGAAATAGAATATACTTTCCAACCACTCAGCCTTCTGAACAAACAGATTTTTGTAGGCATTTTTATAAGCATAACATATGGATGTTATGTGTTAATTTTGAATTTGAAATATATGGGACTTAATTTTCAAAATCACAGGTAGCGATTATCTTTGTCTACGGCTTTTTAAGTGGTACTTTAATTGTGTGCCACTCTGGTATAACATTTTTTATACAAGTCAAATGGAAATATCTATCTCTTGTTTAAATGCTAAACTGGACTATAGTTCAGAAGTTTAGGACATTGAATGAAATTAATGTTGAATGGTAAGACGGTCAATAAAGGTGCTTATTGTTAATGGAGAGTTTTTGCAGTTATTTCCCAAAATTCTTTGACTGAAATTTCATTGACACATCTTTCCCATAACATGATCTGTTTAAATACTGGACCTACTCTGTACAGTTTGTGCCAGAATGGAAATAAGTTTGCAGCCGGTATGTTTTGTTTTCTGAGAATAAAAAGAGGGTATTGCATTTCTACTTGGTCCTGAGAGGAATGCAAACAGGCATATATTTTTGCAAAACTCTAACATGTGATGATAAAATAATTCAAGATGTGTCTTGAACAGTAATCTTGCCATAGTGCTTGCTGTTATCAGGAACAGCATAAACAGGATGCCTGTGTGAACAAAGCAGGTGGAAAAGGAGTAAGGCAAAGGAAAAATGTACTGTCTTGAAAACCTAAACCCAACAGGTATGTAATATTCCTGTGTGGGCCAAAGCTGGTGCTGGAGAAAACTTCAGAATGTCCTGACCTTCATTAGGTTCTTATCTGTGTATGAAGGGAGAAACTTGGCTTCTGAAAATATTGTGGTAGTAAGGTATGATTTTGTTTGATACCATAAAGCAGAGATTCAGAAGTGCTATTACAAAGGCTCTGGAGAGGGAAAGTCAATGTGCTAGAGAGAGTGACAGTTTTTTTAAGGTGCAGATAACTTGTTTTGCTGCCTTTGTGCTAAGAGTTCTTTAACAAATGGGAATTGAGAGCTCTTTCATCTCTGCACTTTATTGTTGCATATAGAAAAATCGAAGTAGTGTGAAGAGCATGGTGAAATTTGGCAGAGAATGGAGCAGTGCGGTAGATTCTGGATCTCTGCTGGGAATATCCTGAGCTTGCTCTGCTTTGTGTGGTGAATCTGTGCAAGTATTTCCCACCAATCTGTTTATGGCTGGTTGGGTACTTCAGCTCTTTTGTGTTTTCTCAAGGACTTCCGTGACACAATTCAGTCACTGTTTTTCAGGGAAATAAGAGGGAAAGGGAGGTAAAAGTTTCTCGTGCAAGTATGTAAAACCAGGCAGAGTGAGACCCATGTGCTTCTGCTGCCTTTCTCCCTTTTCCCTTTTCACTTTGTTTTGGTAGGTGGATGGTTGGTTTCTTTGCTTCCAAATAAATATATTATGTGTTCCTGAAATGGTAAAATATGAAGAACCACTGCACTGGGGCCAGAACTGAAGGCTCACTTGAAAGAAAACAGGGAGTTGCCCCCAGAGTAAAGAGACTGCTGAATCAGGAAGTTCCCTGAATGCCAGGCAGGGTTTTCTAAATACAGTGACTTTGGAGCCTTGCCTCAGCTATAAAAAGTCTAGATGGATTGTGACTTTGCTGTTGGTGAGGCAGAACCTTCTAGCTGTGGATATTTTGAGGAAAACAATGGACCTCCTTGGCATCTTCTTTTTAGATGATCTTTTTTTCCCCCCTCCACATTAATTGTAAATCTGTTCTTTCTGTTAATGGATAGCAGTCATTTGCCAACAGTGAGCTCTGCCTGCAGACCAGCATTCTGAAGAGCAGCTAGAATTTGTCGCTCTGAAGCAGCAGCTTTTGCCCAGCTCGTGTGTCTCGCAGCCTTCAGGGGTCAGGCAGGGCAGTGAGAAGATGCAGTGTGCCACCAAGGCCACGCTGTGTGTATCAGCCTTGAAGCGTGGAAAGAAAACGATACATGGTAAAAGTTTCTCGTGCAAGTATGTAAAACCAGGCAGAGTGAGACCCATGTGCTTCTGCTGCCTTTCTCCCTTTTCCCTGCTTCTGAAGGAGGTTTGGTTTTAGGAGGGAGTTCTACAATTTTCACTTTGTTTTGGTAGGTGGATGGTTGGTTTCTTTGCTTCCAAATAAATATATTATGTGTTCCTGAAATGGTAAAATATGAAGAACCACTGCACTGGGGCCAGAACTGAAGGCTCACTTGAAAGAAAACAGGGAGTTGCCCCCAGAGTAAAGAGACTGCTGAATCAGGAAGTTCCCTGAATGCCAGGCAGGGTTTTCTAAATACAGTGACTTTGGAGCCTTGCCTCAGCTATAAAAAGTCTAGATGGATTGTGACTTTGCTGTTGGTGAGGCAGAACCTTCTAGCTGTGGATATTTTGAGGAAAACAATGGACCTCCTTGGCATCTTCTTTTTAGATGATCTTTTTTTCCCCCCTCCACATTAATTGTAAATCTGTTCTTTCTGTTAATGGATAGCAGTCATTTGCCAACAGTGAGCTCTGCCTGCAGACCAGCATTCTGAAGAGCAGCTAGAATTTGTCGCTCTGAAGCAGCAGCTTTTGCCCAGCTCGTGTGTCTCGCAGCCTTCAGGGGTCAGGCAGGGCAGTGAGAAGATGCAGTGTGCCACCAAGGCCACGCTGTGTGTATCAGCCTTGAAGCGTGGAAAGAAAACGATACAGTTTGGAATGTGTGTCAGGCGCTGACAGCCCTAGAGAATGGGGACACTACCCCAAGAAGTTTTTGAATTTAAGAACAGGCACGTTAGAGCTGTTGACAAAAATTATATAGTTTTATTATTTTCCTTTTGTTTTACTGAAGAAAATTTCTTACTGACATGACGTATTTTGTAAGATAGGTAAAGTCTACGCTCTTTGTTCCTGACTCCCAGCCTCCCTACATGATAAATCAAGTTACTAATCAAAATTTTCCTTGTCATTTCCTATGTCTTTTCCAATTTCTTCCTTGCTCTTCCTTTAAGTTCACCCACTCTCCTTCCTTTGGGAAAGAAATGATTAAGGGAAGAGCTTTTCTTCAATATGCTCTCACAAGTCTATTATTTTTACCAGTTCCTAATTGAGTTCAGATTATGTAGCTACTAAAACCTGACTTGATCCCCAGATTTCTCTTAGAATTTCTGTGCAACCCCAGTATTTGTTTGCATCTAATGTTTGTTGCTAAATAGTGTTTACTGGCTAGCAGTTTGGGTGCATTTGATGAAAAATTCCTGCAGGAATTCCCTTGTTTGAAGCAACTGAGAAGGGTGATAATACAGTCTGCTCATGGCTTCCAGTGAGATCCACAGTAGTGTCAGTACTAAGTCACTGCATACCAGCACGCAGAACATCAGATCTTGATAGTCTTAACTTTATTGCCTTGTTTTCACCATTGCTTTGTGTCTGGATTGGCCATTCTGTTTGCAGCTCTGCCCACTGGTTCTCTTGATGACAGGATGTTCCTTCCTCCTTTGAAGTCTAGTCAGAGAGGCAGCTAAGAAGTCCAGCAGTATGGTGTAAATAGTAAGGTTACAAAATGTCACATAAGAAAGCAAAGGCTAAAACCCAATTGCGTCCAGCTGCTTATGAAGAAAGCTTTGCAAGGGAGAGGCAGCATCAGCCTATATCTTTCCTGCTGCAGTAACATGTGCAGGGTGACCAGACTGAATGTCTGAGGACTTGTAACTTGACTTCTGCGGAAAGTCAAGATCTTTTAAAAGGCAGGAATTCTATGGAGACTGTGACTATTCCAGATTCAAAGTTCCGCAGCCTTCTTCCCTAGAAATATTTAGGCTGCTGACAACATTGCAGAGGAGACCTGCGGGTCATTTTAACTTCCTCATCGTATGTTGCTCTGTTCTAGGCTGCTGGTGTTTCCGGAATTGATTTTTATTCCCAAAGCTGCATACAGTAATACAGTATAGATAGGAGCTAGCAGCGTTTGTGGGTGCTAATTCTCAGTCCTGCTGTGTGAGCTGATGCAGGCAGGACACAGGAACAACCACAAAACCATGGATTAAGGGCAAAGAACAAATTTAATCTCAATACCTCATGGACCGGGGAACCTCAGAAGCAGCACCTGGGCAGAGGCAGGCAAGCAGGGGACACAGGCACTGCAGAGTGAGAGTCCTTATTAGCAAGAGAGTCCTTGTTAGCAAGGGAGTGAGAGTGCTCCCACTTGCTGCTTGGTCCTGTATTTCAAGGATTCCGGCAGGCAGAGTTTTCTGCTGTGCTCTGATCTCTTCAGCAGCAGGGCAAGAATCCCAGGCGTGTTTGATAAGGTGCTCCCAGTCCATCCCAGGCCTATGTTATCCAAGTACAGATATTCTACTTGTTAAGCACACAAAACTAAGCAACAATTAGTGTGATATATGTGTTTTCCAGCATCCCACATACGAGTCACTTGAGTGTATTTACAGTCCTCCTCGCCAATCTTCCATTACTTTCTCACACCTGCCTTTGGGATGCTTCCCACCTCTCCATGTGTGCTCAGGGACGGTGCAGCATTAGCTCTGCCGTGGCCAGCCTGCCACCTCCCACCTCTTCTTGTGTTTGTCTTCAGTTGTGGCTGAGCCAGATAGAAAATAGTGATTAGAACATACTGTATCGTGATATGGAGAGAAGGATGTTCTTTCCTAAATGACATAGTTGCAATAATTCAATTATGGGTTAATTTTTGTTGGTACATGTTTAGCAAGACCTAATGAACTAAAAATTAACTGCAGCATGAAGCAAAGTGCAGTTGAGAAAACGATCTTGTCAGGATCCTGTATCAATGCCCCAACTTTACTAAGCCACAGAACAACTCTAGTGTGCTACAAACTGACATTTGTGGCACAGTAAAAGTAGCCTTGTTCTCAAAAAGACATAAAAATGGCCTTCTAGATACAGAAATGCTTTAGTGGGTCAGCTTTCTCCCTAATTAGGTGGCAGAGTCTTCCCACTTGAGCAAAAATATGATGGCGACCTCGGTGCTGAATTACAGCGGAAAATATTAAACAGGGATTCCTCTGCTTTCTATGCACACACTTCCTCTTAATGTTCACTGTTATCAATCAGGGGAATATCCTCCCATACTGGTACTTTCTGCAGAAGTCCATAGAGGTTTTAGTCTAGCTCCTCTATTTGATCTTTCATCACTACTGACTTTGAAAACTTTGTATTTTACTTAGGCATATCCCTCAGCAATTTCATGTGCCATCCAAGTAATGCATTCACTATTGAAATTATTGAAATTTGTGTGATTTAATAATTTTCTGGCACACTGATTCCCAAACATGTGGGAGGAAAAATGGAGAAGGATTTTTTTCCATCTCTGGGTGTCT